TGTTCCTAGTAGTAAGGCCAGGAACCCCTAGTAGCTTCTTGTTCCTAATAGTAAGGCCAGGAGCCCCTAGTAGCTTCCTGTTCCTAGTAGTAGTGAGGCCAGGAGCCCCTAGTAGCTTCCTGTTCCTAGTGGTAAGCCCAGGAACCCCTAGTAGCTTCTTGTTCCTAGTAGTAAGGCCAGGGGCCCCTAGTAGCGTCCTTGCTCCTAGTAGTAAGGCCAAGAGCCCCTATTAGCTTCTTGTTCCTAGTAGTAAGGCCAGGAACCCCTAGTAGCTTCTTGTTCCTAATAGTAAGGCCAGGAGCCCCTAGTAGCTTCCTGTTCCTAGTAGTAGTGAGGCCAGGAGCCCCTAGTAGCTTCCTGTTCCTAGTGGTAAGGCCAGGCGCCCCTAGTGGCTTCTTGTTCCTAATAGTAAGGCCAGGAGCCTCTAGTAGCTTCCTGTTCCTAGTAGTAGTGAGGCCAGGGGCCCCTAGTAGCTTCTTGCTCCCTAGTAGTAAGGCCAGGAGCCCCTAGTAGCTTCTTGTTCCTAGTAGTAAGGGCAGGGGCCCCTAGTAGCTTCTTGTTCCTAGTAGTAAGGCCAAGAGCCCCTATTAGCTTCTTGTTCCTAGTAGTAAGGCCAGGAACCCCTAGTAGCTTCTTGTTCCTAGTAGTAAGGCCAGGGGCCCCTAGTAGCTTCTTGTTCCTAGTAGTAAGGCCAAGAGCCCCTATTAGCTTCTTGTTCCTAGTAGTATGGCCAGGAACCCCTAGTAGCTTCTTGTTCCTAGTAGTAAGACCAGGAGCCCCTAGTAGCTTCTTGTTCCTAGTAGTAAGGCCAGGAGCCCCTAGTAGCTTCCTGTTCCTAGTGGTAAGGCCAGGCGCCCCTAGTAGCTTCTTGTTCCTAATAGTAAGGCCAGGAGCCTCTAGTAGCTTCCTGTTCCTAGTAGTAGTGAGGCCAGGAGCCCCTAGTAGCTTCTTGCTCCCTAGTAGTAAGGCCAGGAGCCCCTAGTAGCTTCTTGTTCCTAGTAGTAAGGGCAGGGGCCCCTAGTAGCTTCTTGTTCCTAGTAGTAAGGCCAGGAGCCCCTAGTAGCTTCTTGTTCCTAGTGGTAAGGCCAGGAGCCCCTAGTAGCTTCTTGTTCCTAGTAGTAAGGCC